CCACTTAAGATATTTTGTTTAAATGTGGAATGGAAGAACATGAGAAGTACAGGAACTTTAACACCCCTCTGTACTGTAAGCCTACCAGTAATGGTGCAGTAACAACTCAGGGGGGAAGTATGAGCATTAATAAGACATATGGAAGATGGAAAGGGTAGGACTGTTTATTCTGATTTAACTTTTCAATTAGAGTCCAGAGGCCAGTGATAAAAGTGTCAGTGGCAAGAGACACATTTTTTAGGGGTTATATTCTGGCTGCCAAATGCACCTATATAGATTAGTGAATTAAATGTTGCTTGAAAAGACCATAGATTTTTATAAGTGGGTAAATGCATTGTGTGCTTTTCCTGTAATCTGTTCATTAAGTTATTTCCACCTGTGCATCCTTCCCACCCCACCCCCTCCCAGTTAGTGAATTTTCCTTCTCTCAATTTCCTGCTGCTTTTAGACGTATGCCATTCTCTCCAGCTCACCTATCCCCTACTTGGCCACCCACATCTTATTTCTCATTCCCCATTTGCTGCTTTCCCTCTTACAGATATTTTCACTTGCTTCTCTTTGCCCTGCTCCTCTCTTAACTTTGCCCCTTTGGAAATTCAGGCACAGCTCTCCGTTGATGTAGAGTTACTTGGAGCAGCAGGAAGTAGTGTTCCCCTTACCCCCCAGATCTGTAGGAGTATCTGAAAACACTTAGTGTATAAGAAAACCCCTCAAAAGTTGGCAGCCTGCCTTGAGGTGTGTTCATGCCCAGCAGGCCCTTCAGTGAGTAAAACTAAAGAATGGGTTGCACCCACCAATCCAGCAGGAGTCTGACCATGGGAATGGATAAAACAGCTGTTCCTTACCTCCCACCACCATTTCAAACTCCACTCAGTAAGGTAGAGGTGGCACTTTGCAACCTGTTGGAATAGGACTCTTCCTGCCCTTGAAGCTGTGCCCCATGCAGACAGGTGAGAAGAAAGATGCAAGAAGCTTCTCCACAGCCCCAGTGCAACCTTCCTGTTCCAAGACAGAACAGGCAAAAATTGTTCCATAACTGACACATACAGAAAATGTAAACAACTTGTCTTCAACTTAGTCATTTCTGTGTCACATCTAGGCATATTTTGGTGGTGAAGCTCGCTGTGATGCTGAGGCTGGACAAGGAGATGATTATGATCCAAGGGAGCTTATTTGTGGTGCATGCTCTGATGTTTCAAGGGCTCAAGTAAGCCAACAATTTTTATATTTGTTTTTGTATAATTATGGGAGCTATACAGTGGTTATATTTCTTTGTAGAAGAATATCTACAATATCTAAGTGTTGTATAATTTTAATATGCTGTGTAATAAAAAAAAGAATACATAGCTTTAATTGTTACAGTTTGGTTCTGCCACAACAGCATTACTGTTTTCTTCCTATGCAGATGTGTCCCAAACATGGTACCGATTTCTTAGAGTACAAATGCCGCTACTGCTGCTCAGTTGCTGTGTTCTTTTGCTTTGGGACAACACATTTTTGCAATGCTTGCCATGATGATTTCCAAAGAATGACCAGCATCCCTAAAGAAGAACTTCCACATTGTCCTGCAGGTAAGGTTTTTTACAGGACAGTTTATTTTAATAGCCAACATTTCCTGAAAGTAATATTTGATTGACTTGTCTGTATTTCTAAAAATTAACAATTAAAATTAAAAATTATATCAGTCATGTAACATTTTAAGATAATTCATAGAATCATAGAAAATTAAGGTTGGAAGGGACCTCTGGAGGTCATCTAGTCCAACCCCCTGCTCAAAGCAGGACCACCCCCAACTAAATCACCCCAGCCAAAGCTTTGTCTAGCTGGGTCTTGAAAACCTCCAAGGATGGAGCTTCTACCACCTCTCTGGGTAACCTGTTCCAGTGTTTTACTACCTTTGCTCCTTGTTCTATCATCTGCCACCACTGAGAACAGTCTAGCACCACATTCTTTTGAACCTCCTTTTAGGTAGTTGAAGGCTGCTATTAAATCCCCTCTCAAACTCCTCTTCTCTAGACTAAATAAGCCCAGGTCCCTTAGCCTGTTCTCATAAGTCATGTGCCCCAACTCTCTCACTCTTTGTTGCCCTCTGCTGGACTCTCCAATTTGTCCACATCCTTTCTGTAGTGGGGGGCCCAAAACTGAACACAGTACTCCAGATGTGGCTTCACCAGGGCTGAATAGAGGAGAATAATCACCTTCCCTGACCTGCTGACAACACACCTACCAGCAGCCCAATATGACATTTGCCTTCTTGTGGGAAAAAAAAAAAAAAGGCACACTGCTGGCAAATACTCAGCTGATTGTCCACTGTAACCCCCAGGTCCTTGCTTGCAGGGCTGCGGCCCAGCCAGTCAATCCCCATCCTGTACCAGTGCATGGGGCTGTTCGGTCCTAAGTGCAGGACTTATCCTTGTTGAACCTTACCAGATTTCTTTTGACCCAATCCTCCAGTTTGTCTAGGTCACTCTGAAGCCTAGCCCTACTCTCCATTGTATCTACTACTCCCCCCAGCTTGATGTCACCTACAGACTTGTTGAGGGTGCACTCTGCCATTTTCCAAATCATTGATGAAGACAGTGAACAAAACCAGCCCCAGGACCAACCCCTGGGGCACTCCACTTGATACCAGCTGCCAACTAGACACCGAGTCATTGATTACTACCCTCTGAGTTTTCTATCCACCTTACATTCATCCAGCCCATACTTCCTTAGGTTGCCTGCAAAAATGTTGTGGGCGACCATATTAAAAGCCTTGCTAAAATCAAGGTTTATCACGTCCACTGGCTTTCCTGCATCCACAGAGCCAGTCATCTCATCACAGAAGGCAGTCAGGTTGGTCAGGCATGACTTGCCCTTGGTGAATCCAGGCTAACTGTTTCTAATCACCTTCTTCTCCAAGTGCTTAAAAATGGACTCCTTGAGGATCTGCTCCATGATTTTTCCATGGGCTGAGGTGAGGCTGACTGGTCCGTAGTTCCCTGGATCCTCTTTTTTTCCCTTTCTTAAATATGAGCGCTATATTTGCCCTTTTCCAATCATCTGGGACCTCTCTTGGTCGCCATGAGTTTTCAAAGATGATGGCCAGTGGCTCTACAATCTCATCAGCCAACTCCCTCAGCACCCTCAGGTGCATCCCATCTGGCCCTATGGACTTTTATATGTCCAGCTTTGCTAAATAGTCCCTAACATATTCTTTCACCACTGCTGGCTGCTCACCTCCTCCCCAAACTGTGCTGCCTGTTGCAGAAGTCTGGGAGCTAACCTTGCCTGTGAAGACTGAAGCGAAAAAGGCATTGAGTATTTGAGCCTTTTCTGCAACCTCTGTCACAAGGTTGCCTCCCATATTCAGTAATGGACCCACACTTTCCCTGATCCTCCTCTTGCTTATTGACATACTTGTAGATCCCCTTGTTACTCTTCACATCTCTTGCTAGCTAGAACTCCAATTGCGCTTTGGCCTTCCTGACTTCATTCTTGCATGCCCAAGCAAAATTCTTGCACTCCTCCCTAGTTATTTATCAAAGTTTCCACTTCTTATAAGCTTCCTTTTTGTGATTTGGTTTACTGAAGAGTTCCCTGCTAAGCCAAGCTGGTCTTCTGCCATACTTGCTAGTCTTCCTGCGCATCAGGATGGTTTGTTCCTCCACTCTCAGTAAGACTTTTTTAACATAGCTCTTCTAAACTTCTCTTCCCCGCAGACTGGCTTCTCAGGGAATCCTGTCTAGGAGTTCCCCGAGCGAGTTGAAGTCTGCTTTTCTGAAGTCCAGGGTTCTTACTCTTCTGCTCTCCATCCTTCCTTTCCGCAGGATCCTGAACTCAGACATCTTGTGGTCACTGCTGCCCAAGTTGCCATCCACTACATTCCCCACCAATTCTTTCCTGTTTATGAGCAGTAGCTCAAGAAGAGCACGGCCCTTATGGGGCTGTTCCAGCACTTGCACCAGGAAGTTGTCCCTAACACTATCCAAAAACATCCTGGATTGCCTGTGCACTGCTGTGTTGCCCTCCCAGCAGATGTCAGGGAGATTGAACTCTCCCATGAGAACCAGGGCTTGTGATCTGGAAATTTCCATTAGTCGTTTAAAGAAAGCCTCATCTACCACTTCCTCCTGGTCTGGTGGTTTATAGCAGACACCCGCTACAACATCACCCTTGCTGCTTTCCCCTCTAACCTTAACCAAGAGACTTTCAACAGGTCTTTCTCTAGTTTCATACTGGAGCTCTGAGCAATCATGTGGCTCTTTTACGTCGTACAACTCCTCCACCAATTCTTCCTTGCCTGTCCTTCCTGAACAGTTTGTATCCATCCATGATAGTGCTCCAGTTATGTGAGCTATCCCACCAGTCTCTATTATTCCAGTCACATCATAGTTCTGTGACTGTGCAATGACTTCCAATTCTTCCTGCATTTTTTAACCTTGTAATATTAATTGAGCTTTCCAAAATGAGCAGTGCTGTTGTCACAGTAAGATCAATATTATCATTGGTAAGGGGGTTGAATTACAAATTGCCTCCATGCATTCACCCACTTTGAGTTGCATGTTCTGTCACACAGACCAAAAATTATAATAATTAAAATTGCCACAAGTCAGGATTTACCCTGACTTATGCACTCTGCAGCTTTAAACAAAAGCATTTGGAACTGTTGAACCCCAACTTCCACTTACCAAGTGTGTATGTTGCTCTGTGTAAAGGTTCTTCTTGTTGCACGTTAAGCTGTAACATTTCATAGTATTAATGTCCTGTTTGATAGAAACGTTTTATTCTTTACAGTTGTTATCAGTTAATTTTCCTGAATTAATTTGATTCACTGTATTTGCATAGCAATCTATAGTCTGTTTTTTCATGTGTTTTCTTTGAAATGTGATCCTTAACGCAATGTTGTCTTTTAAGACCCAACAGTTCTGTTTTTTGCTGGACCTCATCTAACTGTTCATACTTTTTTTCCATTTTATTAAAAGATTTTTATTTTTCATTGCCTACTTGAAGCCTGTTACCTACTTGTTTAAATTCTGAATCCATTTTTATGGGTGTCATAACATCCAGCTAAGCAAAATGATTTCTCCATTTAATATTATGCTTTTTCAGATAGGCCTGCTGCTTTTTTTTGCATCTCATCGCAAGTTTTGCAAGTGCATTTATCTTCCTCTTCCTTTTTTTCCCCCTCCTTGTTTAAACTGGTTGCAGGTCCCAAAGGCAAACAGCTTGAAGGAACAGAATGTCCACTTCATGTTGTTCATCCTCCCACTGGTGAAGAATTTGCTCTAGGTTGTGGGGTTTGCAGAAATGCTCACACTTTTTAAATTAGTAATTTTTAACCAGAGCAAAACCATTGATGTCATCCCACAAGTGTCCTGAGCATAAACCCCAGTTGGGATGAGGATGGGACCATTTCCTAAACCAGGTAAAAGGAACAATTTACAGTGCAAGAAGGATGCCAAATACTGTGTACATAACACTTGCTGTGAGAAAAATGACATTTTTTTTGAACCAAGACATCAAACTTGTGAGGTGTTTGCATGTGGCCATTACAGTCATCGGCTATGAAGCGTTGGACATTTACAAATAAATACTTGCTATTAAAGGATCTCTGTGTCTGTGGACTATGAATGATGCTGGCTTTCAGATGAAGAAAGAAAAGAATATTGATTATTGTATACTGACTTTTTGTAATCCTGTACAATTGTAACTGCATCACAGGTGAGGGTGGAAAAGAGGAATATTCTGGTTTCTTTCCTAGACTGTTATAAAAAAAAATTGTGTTGGAAAGGCATAAATATAACAAGTATCGCGCTGTATATAAAGGTATCAATGTTTGTCCTGTATAAGAATTACTAAATTACAACAGCAGTTTCATTTAAACTTCTGGGTTATGTTTGAGCCTGAAATTTTAATGAAGTGCAATACTGAGTGTGCCTCATATCTTGCAGCTGTAAACATAATGGAATGTACATGTCAATAAAGCCACTGTACATTTTTATACAGTGAAAGTCTAATGAATGTGTGAGACCTTATCTATCTTTGAGTATCGTCTGTAGATTCCCCCCCTACCATTGTGTTCTTGCCATGCCCATAATTGTTTGGTCAGCCATGTCCATTGGGGTTGCACATTGTTTCCTGGGTGTCCTTACAGATTTGCTTTTTGAATACAATGCCAACAACCTTTTTCCTTTCTCAGAAACTGTAGCAGAAAATCAGAAGTTACAAAGGCCTGCAGTAATTTATCCTTTCACAAATTCACAGAAATTTAGGGCTGGAAGGGACCTCATGAGATCATAGGGTCCAGCTCCCCTGCTCTGGCCAGGAAAGACTGCTGGGGTCAAATAACCCCAGCAAGGTGTGCATCTAGTCTCCTTTTCAAGATCTCCAGGGTAGATGCCTGCACCACCCCCGCTGGAAGTAAATTCCAGAGTCTGGTCACACGAACCATGAAGAAGTTTTTCCTTATATCCAGTCTGAAACCTTCTTCTAGGAGTTATGACTGTTAGTGCTGGTTTTCCCCTGGGGCGCTTTGGTGAACAGTTGTTTGCCTAGCCCCTGATGCTCACTGCTGATATATTTATAAGCTGCCACCAAGTCCCCCTGAAGTCTTCTCTTTTTCTAGGCTGAACAGTCTCATATGTGTCAGTCTTTCCTCATATGGCTTGCTCTTCAGGCCTCTAATCATATGAATGGCTCTTCTCTCAAGCTTTTCGACATCCTTCTTGAAGTGTGGTGCCCAGAACTGGACACAGTTCTCCAGCTGCAGTCTCACCAATGCCAAGTAGAGCAGGAGAATAACTTCCTTAGTTCTGCTAGAGATGCATCTGTTTCTGAATCCTTTGCAACAGAAAAACTGCTTTATTATTTTTCCATAGTCAAAAACGAGTTTAAGCCAAGAGCTGGCATTTTCTGATAAGTTCCTGGAATCTAAAAAAGGTTGAGAACCAACGATCTAAGAGAAAATAAGTGATATTGGTAGGCTGCCTAATGCAGATAGTCATAACAGGATACAGTTGCTGGATACAGAAATAACGTCTTTTTTTTTTTTTTTTTAAAAAGAAGCTAGCTAAAAATCTGTTCCAGTGGTTTAAAAAGTCTGTTGGCTCAGAAGATTTATACGTTTGCAAAACAGATGTTATTTCTTTGACGGCAACTTTTTGTAAATTCATGTCAAATTCTCTGAATAGCAGTTGCCAAAAACTTAAAATTTAGAAAAGCTCAAATATTTTGTGTAATTTAGATTTGTGTTGATTTTTCCCAGTTCATGTGGAAAAATATAATTTTCAGGTTCACATGGCATGGGGTTTTTTTGTAATAGTTTTGTCTCCAAACCAAAAATATCTTGGAATCATAGGAAAGAAGGGCTGGAAGGTACCTCACAAAGGTCATCTAGTCATCATGTCTCAGTCATCTGGTGCAAGCACCTACACTGGATTCATTCAAAAGGCGTTTGGATGCATATCTTGCTGGGACCATTTGACCCCATCTGACTTCTATCTCACAAGGTCCCTTCCAGCCCCTAATGTCTATGAAGTCTGTACAGCTCTGCTAATGAGCTCTAGAGTTAGCTTGAACTAAGAGACAGACCATACATTTCACAAATTATTTTCTTGGGTTAATTCTGGAGTTCTAGGTATAATTGTTATATATTATTATAGGAGGAAGTATAGGCAAACAAATGCAGGTATATAATTATCATATGTAGGTATGTAGTTATCATAGTTTCCATTCCAATTTATCCCTGGATGCGGTTGTACTCTTCTAAGTCCAAGATCCTCTGCAAGTAGCACTGCATGTGTCAGCTATGGTGTCTTTATTCTGTTTCATTTTTGTGTATGTGTGTGGGTGTGTGAATGTTTTGGTTTGTTTGTTTTTTTGGTTTGGCCACCAAACTTTCCAAAAACTGGAGGTATTTTGGGAGACTAAAATAGACTGGGAAAAATGAAAAGGTGAAAACTAAAATCAGTGGATATTAATTCTATTGCAGTCAGTGGCAAAAAGAAAATGAAGGAAGCAAAACAAAACCCTGGGAAATTTCAGAAATTTTGTCTTTTTTTAATATAAAACTTGCTTTCAAAGATAGTTGAATTGTTTCAATGTTTTGTGTGTTAGGTATGTACATTTTATTGACACATTTGTATTCCACCTTATTAAAATAGCTGCTCTCTAGAAAGAGAATGAAGAACAATGTAAAACACCCCCCAAGTTCTTAGTATACAGGGTCTTCATAAAGTCCTTGTGCACAACCTAAGTTATTTAAGTTTAAAAGTGCACAAGGACTTTATGAAGACCCTGTATTTAGCTGCAGCTAATTCCTATTGACAAATTAAACGACATCAAAGAGATAAACAAGCCAAATAGATCATTTAAATTGTATCATTGTCAATAAAAAGAGGAAATTTCCTTTGTAAATCAAGATAGCAGACTGTGCTGGTTTCCTTAGGCTATTCCTAACTGTTATTTAGTCCACACAAATGCATACTTGCTGCATTTTGTATTTTCCAGTATATATTAACCTCTGCTTTATGTATTCAGTAAAATGGGAAAAGGTGCAATTAGCAGCTTAAAATCTGAAAGTTAGTTAAGTATTGTGTATGTGATGCACGTTTTAAAGGTGCTCTTTTGGCTCGATTTGTATAAATTCAGTCTGAACATAAAAGCCACTTAAACCTGAAGTACTATACAAGCTGATCTATGGATAACACAGGGTCACTTCACTCCTGCATCTACCTGCTCTCTCTGCAAACATGACTCTGAGTTATTGGTTCAGTAACAACTCAGGTACGAGTGTCACTTACTGAATGCTATGTTTGCTCACTGGTCAAGTGCTTTCATCTGAGGATATCCAAAGCACTTTAACTTAATTTTTTAAACTTGTTTTATCCCTGTGGTAAATATTATTTTTACACATAATGGATGAGAAAAGGCACAAAGGTCAAAGGAATTGCCCCAAGTAATATACCAAGTCTGCGACACAGACAAAGGTCTTTTTGCTCCCAATTCTGTGCCTTGACCACAGGCAAAGTCCCTAATGCAATCTAAGACAGCAGCACCTAAAAGATTTAATTTAGCTACATTTTGAAGGCAGACTTGTTCATACTATTAACTACAATAAAAACAAAGTTTAAGTTTTAGTCTAAGATGATTTTCAGTAACCTGTTCTGTGCCCAGGCTTGCCACTCTTAGGTAAAAGATATTATCCCCCTTGGTTTATATGGTATTTTTTGCAGGATTTGCTTCAGCTAGTGGGTTTGCAGAAAAAACAGCATGAGGTTCTAGTACCATCAAGATGCGTCAGCAGAAGACTTCTGTATCTCCATGAAGGGCCCCAAGAACTTCACATCATGTTTCCTTCTCTGAATCATTTAAACATTTTCCTGCAGGGTCTAAGTGAGGTTCTGACCAAATTATTTTGTTTATCTTAAGATTGCTGATAATATTATAGCCTGGAGTAGTAAGAGCTGCAAGCAATCCAGAAATCGCTGGCTTCATGTGACTCAATCAAAGCATGCCACTCAGTGTATGCCAATGGCTGAGACCTGGCGGGAAGACTATGAGAAGACAACCTGCACTAGAGATTCACAGTTTTCCAGATGTGTCCAGAGCCCTTGAAAAAGTTGGAAAATGGAAAGGAAAAAATAATCCCACCAGGTTCAGGCACAGATGCAATGGACGCAACAGTTTGGAGGAAGTTAAGCAATGGCCCTATGCTGTGTGATACTGATCTAAGCATTGGGAAGCAGAACTTCCCACACAAATGGGAGTGGGAAGAACACAGCCATAAACAAATTAGACAGTAAGGGAGCACCAGAACAGGGAAAGGGGTACCCAGTAGTGAAGAGCAACTTACTTTATTATAACTTTCAGCATTCAACCTTAAGAAAAATACTCATTGACAAACTAAGACAAGAAAATAAGCAGCTATGTTCTGCCAAGCCTGTATTTGAGCATACAGTTTTAAGCATGATGAGACTGGTATATAATGCTTTTTTTTCTGGTACCAAGTCTTAAAATTGTTTGATGTGGAGGCAGTGTTTGCTGATGGAAGATAATCAGTAGCTGACTCCAGTCATTTTTATGGCCAGTGTCTGAAATTACTACCGTCATTGTTGTAAAAGAACCTCTGAAACTGGCAGACATTAAAAGGTGAGTGGAGCACATTATAATCATTATTGTTTACTCTCTTTTTGACCCTACCATTTATGCATGTTGCTTAGCATATGAATGCTGCCCAGCTTTTATAAAACAAATAAAATGATTTAGCCAGAATAAATGGTCTGTGCTTTTTCACTGAGCCACCACGTCATATACATTTTCATACTGATCATTTCTTTATTTAGAAAGCCTTCTAGAATGCTATTCAGGCTCTGCCAGCAAAAATGGCAGTAACAAAAAATGTGGCCAAAGACCTAGTGCAGAACCATTGCAACAAGTTATAAGATGGGACACTATCCCTAGTATAACCTTCAGTGCCATAAGTGGAGAGGCTTTCTGGAGCAAGGTTCTCTACCAATACTTGTAGGATAAATTTCTCCAGAGAGATTTAAACCATTTTAGAACTGTGTCTTGGACTTCTCCCACCTCTCTCAGGTGAGAGAGCAGTAGTTGTTAATAAGCAGTATTGAATACTGAACACTGGTTCAAGAGAATTGGCATGGATGTCTGCCCTCTGCCAATTAATGGGAAAAAAATCATCCATTGGTGCCAGAAAAGTTCCGTGTCCTGGGCTGAAAACAGAGTACTAGGTCTAAAACATTAGCTAAATGAGCTGCTGGGTGGCTTTGGCTAACTTGTAATGATCTTGCTAACAAAGGGAGGTGTGACACTAGCCACTAATTTCCTGAAACTGATGTTCTCAGAGTGTTAGATGTGTGTGAAGACAAAAAGAGCACTGGCAAGTGTTCTTTTTGTAGTACTACAAAGTTTGCAGCACTTCAAAACAGAGCACTTCTGGCTGGAGCACAACAGAGCTGCCATAAAAGGGCTGCTCTCCTGCCA